AAGATAGTGAACCATTCTCTCTTCATCCTAAATTTTCTTCATGCACAGAACAGATTTTTTGTGTCACTCTCGTTACCCTTGAAAATGATGAGACGCTCGTCTCTTCATATATTTCCTAACCACTGGTGCCATTTACTTGAGCATTTATGGTGCTATTCAGAAACTTCTGTCATGCGTTTTCATTCATTACTCCTGGCGTTAGAAGTGTTCTGATGTCTTTTGACTGGCAGTTGACATCATGGAGGAAAAAGGTATTTTATTAAGAAAGATAAGGTATAAACCATAATGGAATGTAGCAGAGGAGAAAGGTCTTTAAATTAATGATAGTACAGGCTGTCTGCTGTGTTATCATTTTCTCAGAAGTGCAATGTCTAAGGACTGTGGAGGAATTGGGCTGTATTCCTTTTTCAGAAGCCCATGTCCTGCTAACTAACTGCTAACTTGTCTCCAATGTCAGTGCTAGCAGCTATGGATAGTGCTAAATCAGCTCTAATATGAATCTATTGTAGTAAAACAAACAAAAATGCCCAAAGCCCAGCCTTGAAAAACTACCACTGACTTCAGTGGTCCTCAATCTGGGTTTGTTCACAGTGATTCCAATCTTAAATATTGTGCTGGAATTGTTAATTGATTTAAAATGTAATTTCCTCCAGCCTTAACAGTGTCATTGCTGGCTGCAGTATATAATTAGGCTTAGAGGATTACATTTCAATCAGTAAATGAGAGTAAGTGTAGGTTTTTCTCTCCACCCAAATTATTACCATTCAGGATTTACAGAGGAAAGACAATACATTTACAGTTTGCTCTGGTAAACACTTTGGCTGTGTCTACACTGCACCCCTTTTCCGGAAAAGGGATTCAGATGAGACAAGTCGGAATTGCAAATGAAGCGGAGGATTTAAATATCCCCCGCTTCATTTGTATAAACATGGCTGCCGCTTTTTTCCGGCTCGGGGCTGTGCCGGAAAAAAGCGCCAGTCTAGACAGGGATCTTTCGGAAAATAAAGCCTTTTTCGAAAGGTCCCTTATTCCTCTTAAAATCAGGAATAAGGGACCTTTCAGAAAAGGCTTTATTTTCCGAAAGATCCCCGTCTAGACTGGCGCGTTTTGCCAGCAAAGCCCCGAGCCAGAAAAAAGCGGCAGCCATGTTTATGCAAATGAAGCGGGGAGATTTAGATTTGCAATTGCGATGTGTCTAATTTGCATCCCTTTTACAGAAAAGGGATGCAGTCTAGACATAGCCTATGGGTTTTGCTGGAAGAGGCAATGCCCATTGAGACTGCTTATGTGTGTAGGTACTTATCTGGATATGTGTTCCCACAAATCACAGCTTTGTTGTACTTTTAGACAACCATAGCTCCATTTTCCTATCAGTTCTGACAGCCAATAAGAAATTAATATCCAATATATTATTTACAATATTTCAATATCTCTTATGAGTCTTAGCTAGCACGTTTTTAAGGAATGAACATTAATATCTCAATTCCTGAAATTTCCAAGTACTGTAAAAATTTACATTGATATAACTTGAATAAAATATTGAGAATCCCACTGAAACATAATTTAATATTCCTTGTACAGCTGTGATATGACATATATCAAAACCAGTACATACCGTACATTATCAGACTACCTCTGTAGAAATGAAAAATTCACTCTTGAGCTGTTATTTAAATTCTATAGATAAGCTGGCATGTTAGTTTACTGCTTTGGGTTGATACTTTTTTTACTATAATTACAAATTATTTTTAAACTACTGCTTGTAAGTAGAACAGATGTGACACTTCGTGAGGTTATACTTTCAAGCTAAAGTATGGAAAGTTTCACATAAATCCTCTTGTGCTAAGTTAAGATGTTGAGTTTTAGAAGTTCATTACCATTGAAAGTATTGGTAAGTTGATATGTGTTGACACACATGGATTTCTGTATACAACTCTCCTTAAGAAAAAAAATAACCTGTAAGTGGTGCATATACTAAGAGCTTTGACTCTTTCGCCAAAGTATTTCAGGAAAATTGCCTTCACAATCTCATGTCTACATTTTTAATTATAAGATTTTTTTTTTACAAATAGAAGATATCTTTAAACAAGATTAGATTGAACAGCTCAGCACTGTAGGCTGTTTTACTAAATATGATAAATGAAAATCTTACAAAAATGCTCAGCCTTTTAAAGAGCAAAGAACAGCACAGCAGATAATTTTAAATAATGTAAAATGTCTATTTACATAATAGCTGGAAATTCACTTATTTAAATGTGTAATCATCAATAGCTTCAGACGCTGACCTTGAAAATGGCATATCTAGGTACAAAATAAATAGGCTACTTGTAACAAGCTGCCATTTCCTGGAGGGATAATATATAACTGTCCCTAAAACTGTGCAACAGTAAGAATTTTCTTTAAAGCCCTGAGACTGCTTTAGCAAGCACACTAGGGGCACAGCTTGCCCTGATTAGACAATGCTATATATAACTATTGTCTAGGATGACAATTATACTGCTATGAAGTACATTGGATTTTGTCTTCATCAGCCTATTTTACCATTAACAGATATAACTAAAAATGGGCATTTAACATATTACAATCTTTTAATCGCATGCTGTAGCAAAACAGATCTTATGTGAGAGCCAGTCAGTTTCAGACATTTATTACAACTGTTGATAAAAACAATGAAATATTATAACAATTAGAAATCATAGCATCATCTAGTAGCTTTCACTGTGAATTGACCTGATGGACTGATCTAGCAATAGAATAAGGTAGCAGGAGCCTTAAATATCCTCTCAGTTATACCAGTTTTATGCTATTGTAGTACCATTGACTTCACTTGCTATTGCAATACCATTTGACAGTTACTTCTGGTCTTCAGCGGTGTAACTGTTGGAAGAATCAGGCAGGCTCTGTCCAATAATCTGTAGTGTGACCTTGAGAAAGGGCACTGCTGCAATTTACACATCAGTAAAATGAATAGTATTTACTGCACAGAGGGCTTGTCGGTTTAATTAATGATAGCCTACTCCTGCATTACTTCAACCTGAAACTTCAGTAAGGTAGGATTTGTTCAATGAAGGCAGCAAGTGTTTTTGGTGTGCAACATGTACAATGTTGGTCCCTTATGGTCTGTGTTTTACACCCTGCTTGTAATTTTACAGCCACAATCAGCAAAATTACTGTCTGGTTTGAAAAAAAATATTAAGTGGTTAAAGTCTATCAATTATGCTTACAAACAAGTAAGGGGCTTTTTTAAAATAGTGACTCCTTAATGTTTTTAAAACACTACAGAAATCTGGAGTATTAATATTGATAACACTTCTTTCATTATCATTATCTCCTTTTAACAGGAGATGTGTTTTAAATTTGTTATCTGAGTAAATGATGTATTAAACAAATCAGTTAAAACTATGAGAATAGGGCCTTTGGTTTTTACAGAAGATCTTTCCTGGGGGAAAAATGATAATGGTACACAATTCGTTAAAATTGTTTGGTGACAGAATTTTTAAAAAAATTATGTAATCATTGTGTCTTTTCATGCAAATAGACATTTCTAATAAATATAGTAATAAATAAAGATAAAGCTTGTTAGATTCCTTATAATGACCAAGGTGATCTGAAAACATTATGCTTCAAACCAAAAATAAACAAAAAGTGTGAAATACTATCTGGATGTACCTTATCTCTGAATTTACTTCAGTAGGACTTCCCAGAGAGTGATGTACTCTTCATTTTAAGTAAGGGGATCTTAATCTGGTTGTTAAAGATCTCATTCAACTTTCATCTCATAGTCATGCTCTTTGTATATTTGCTGTGTACACTGAAAGGACAGGAGATACTTGATATGGATTTTAGTCAGGTCATAAATTTTATTATCTAGATACCTGGGACTTTGTCATCCACCGTGTTCATAGGAAAGTTAAGGTGGTCGATGAGAATGGGGGAGGGGGAGGTTGGCTCCCTGCTGTATCAATCAGAGGAATGTCTAAACCCTCTCTCCCATTCTGTTCCTTTATCTTGTACTTCTCTTTAAGGGGGGAAGTTCTTTACCAGGCCATTTATCTGGTCTCTGGATGCCTTTCCTATGGAATACCTACACTGAGCAGCTGCCCAGCCTTACAAAATAGTTCCAATATATGGTCTACCGCCTTTTCTTCTTATCCAAAAAGATGCCCCTGACACTTGCTATGTGGAAGTGAAACCTCATTCCACCAAAACCAATCGCATGGTGTGGCAAAAATTCCTTCCCAGCCCCCCTTAAAAAGGAGAGACTAGCATGACGCCCCTATCAGGTCCTAATCCAGCCTTATATTCATCTCCCATATGGGTCCTGGCTTTAGTTGGTGCATGGAACAAAGAGGTTTCCCCCACCCAGGACTTGTATCTTTCAGATCTTACATTCCTGAGGTGATGAGTCAGTGCTGCAAAGCTGCCCACCATCCACCTATTTGCAGCATTCTCTTGCCTCATTCCCACACACTCTGGGTATGTCTAGACTACATGCCTCTGCTGACAGAGGCATGTAAATTAGACTACCCGACATAGTCAATGAAGCGGAGATTTAAATATCCCAGGCTTCATTAAATAAAAATGGTCACCACGCTGTGCCAGCTCAGATGATCATAGGCACAGTACACAAGTCAAGAAGCAGATCGGTCGACAAGGGAAGTCTGTGTTGACTGCTCCTATAAACCTCATTTTACAAGGCATAAGGGAGCGGTCAACAAAGGCTTCCCTCATCGACCAAACTGCGTCTTGACTCACGTGCTGTGCCGATGATCAGCTGAGCCGGCACAATGCGGCAGCCCTTTTTTTTTAATCTCCACTTCATTGACTATGTCAGGTAGTCTATTTACATGCCTCTGGCGACAGAGGCGTGTAGTCTAGACATACCCTCTAATTGTGGTGAAGTCATTTGCTGTAATTTCCTATTTCATGTTCATGCCATTTTGCCTTTTTATTTACTCTCATCTGTTAATCATTCCATGTAATAACATTTTCATTTTCAGAAGAAGAGCTGTGTGACTTAGGAGAGTTTCTTTGTGATGATAATGTGACTTGCGTATCTCAAAACTGGCTATGTGATGGAGAACCCGACTGTCCAGATGATTCAGATGAATCTTCAGATACCTGTGAGTAAAAAGTACTTCATGCTATCCTTATTTTCCTTTGAAGTGTAACACATATAGCCGTAATGTATGGTTATAAGAGTAGATTTTGGTTTAAAAAACCCATCCCAAGTGAATCTTTGTACCATGGATAATAGGTTACACTCAATATGCGGGTGTGAGATGAAAAAACTCAAAGGTGTTTTGCTCGTGTGTCATTTTATAATGAACTCTATCTGCAGAGCATATGTTCCATATTCTCTTACTGATTTTGTAGAATAGCTGTGGCAGGCAGAAGCAATGGCAGACAAAGGAAGGAAAATAATGCTACTTCAAAACAGGAAAAGAAATTATTAGTGCAGCAAAATGTCAGAGCATAGCACTGAGACCTCAAAGGAGGGAAAGGAAGACAGAGAATGCAAAACATTGAAAAGTGAAATAAGAAAAAAAAAAGCCAAGTATTAAAAAAAATCAGTGGAAGATTTAATGAAACATGCTTAATATTAATAAAATAATCTTCTTTTCTCTGTAACTGAGAGCTGCTGGAGAGCAGAACAGAACCCTTGCAGGCGTCTCAGAGTTGTGGATGAGGTGATATTAAATCTTAATGTTCCCTTGTTTCCTATATTACGAGGAAAATGAGGGAACTTCCTGGTCTCTGTCCCCATGATAATCAGCACATGTAACAGAGGATATGGACAAAATGCAATGTTCTTCTCAGTGGAATATAAAAGGCTAGAGATTTGCTTTACCTGATAAAAGTACAGAAAGTACCACGTATCAGATCAAATTAGGGACTATAATCCTAGTTTTTTAAAAATAATGGACAGGAATCTACACATACTGGTTTGATTTCTGACACTGGATAGGCAATTTAACCTTCCCGTGTCATAGTTTACTCATCTGTAAAATAGGTATTATAGTTACCTTCTGAGGTTGTTGTGAGGGTTCATTGTGTAATGGCTTGTAAAGCACTCAGAATCCTCAAGAGAAAAAGCTGAGTATAAGTATGAAATAGTTCTTTCATAATTAGTTGTGACATACTCACTTCTCAATGCCTTTTTTCATTTAAAACTATGCTGGATTCTGTGGCTGTATTTTAAACATAAAGAATATCATTGTGAAATGGGCTACAAAAATGACATACACAAAATAATTCCTTAGAATTTTCCAGTAAAAAGACCTCATGCCTTGGCAGGAAGAATTCAGTCTGGGTGACAGGCACCAAACATATTATGCTTCATAGTGTTGCCTCCTTATCTCTATTTTATTCACCTGCTGAGGACATCTTCCCTACAGATTTGTTTCCAAATCATGGTATTAGCATTAATGGGTCCTCGTTTGTCTTTTGAGCATAGTTTGGCATTTTGAAATGGAGTGTCTTGCTCCTTCATGCTGTCCATGCCAAACTCATTCTGCTGCATATAAATGTGCATAAATCCCTACCTACTTCTGTTTCCTGACAGTAATTGGCATCAGGAGAAAATCACTCAGCTGGTAATAACCACATACCATTCCTTCTCTTGGGCCCAATCCTCAGCTGATATAAATCGGCATAGCTTTATTGAAGTCAATGGAGCTGCACCAATTTACATTGGCTGAGGATTAAACCTCTTCTGTTTCATTAGCATCTTGAAGTGTGAAACAGGATTTTTCCTGATACTTTGCCTGAACCTACTCTGTATATGATCGTGATTTTCTGCATAGCTGATGCACATAAAGAGAAACATCTTTCAGAAAGCTGAGTAAGCCATCTCCAAATTCTCAATGCAAATATCAGTGCTTAAAATGAAATATTTTGGTTGGTTAACCTAGAGTACACACCCAGAATTTCCCATAAAATATCTTATCTAAGCATATAACATCGCAGTTCACTTTTCTAAATTGAACTTATATTGCGGTGTTTAAGACATAATAAATCTACATACCAAATATATATGAACCATCGGAAAACTCGAGGGTCTGGTGATAGGGATACAGAATCTTTCACTTGGAATGCATCATATCACATGTACTTCTGCCTGGTTGCAGCTGTTCCATTGGGCAGAGATTTAGTGACTTATGCAAGAGGAATTGGTAGAACCTCCAAGATACCACTAAAAAGGATTCCAAGTAGTCCCCTTGTAGGCAAATTCAATGGAGGATCTAGGATTAAATGGGAATGGGGAACACAAACTATGTATTTCCTCATTTACTTCTTAAACCAGCACCTATTGACATCATTTGGAGTTGGATTAGGGCATGTGTTTTCCCCAGATATTATAATTAGTGGGAGGTTTTTAATTTACAAGAGGGGTTGGAAACTGGCAACACCACTGATGTAACTAGTTGACACTGACAAGGGGGAGGTCAAAGAAGGAAGACCCTCAATAACAATAGCAAAGGAATGTGACAGATTTGTCCTGCCAGTGCCTAAACCAGCAATAGGCAAAGTAGGCTAGTTAGTGTCCTTCTTCATCTCAGGGGACCTCAAGATTCTTGTAACCAAGAGAGTCTCCTGGGATGGCTCGTTTAGCTAACTTCGCTTGTGCACCTACAATTTCTGGCGTGCGCCAATTGAACCATCATGGCCCTTAGATTGAATGCAGAGGGAGGGCACAGCTCTCACAGTCAATGTTGTGTGTAATCAGCACACATCTCACTTCACAACTCCTTGTTTTATGTGTGTCACTTTAGTAATACGGATGGGGGGAAGGCGGAAATCTATGTGGATGGAAACCAGCAGAATCTGGCAAGCCTGTGTAAACAAAATGATTTGCAGCATACATGTAGAACCCCAATGGGCCGCAGGTTGTCCACCACTGCCCTAAGCTGTTGCCAGTCTCTGTACATGGGGCTTTCATCATCAAGCCATCAATTTAGTCACTTTCACTAGTACTAAATGTACTCACAAATAATGGCAAAAAAGCAAAAGTGATTTCTTAGCAAATCCACTTTTACCCTGTTGCATTATTTTAGCAATCATTATTTTTGTTCCCAGAGGAGTTGTTGCTTTTAGAGTATAAAACAAAAGCTAGTTCAGTAATTCTTAATGAATGATTTATTGAAGAAATTTTGCTACTTCTATGTTAGTGAACTGTCCATGAGATAATTGTATTTTTCATAAAGTCTTTCTTTGTAAGTATTATCCAAATAAGTTAATTATTTGGGGGCTGTTGAAAGCAATGGATTGATATTAATCTACCTCATCTGGGAACTCAGTTCATTGCATGTTTCTCTTTTACTAATAGATGGACTTAGCATCAGGATTCTGGTGTAAATGTTCACAGCATTTTCTCACTGTTTGCCTAAAATTCATTGCTTCCATACTCATTCTTGTCTATAATCTCATTTGCTTGACTATTTGGAAAAAGTAAACACGGATAAAGAAAATGCATTTAAAAGAATCAGAAAAGTACGATTAAAGGTTTTCTACCACATTTGTCCAGCTCTACAAATGGCCTTGAGTAATAATATCTAATTATAAGAAAATCTGTGCTGTCACCTGTTTTAAGTATGTAGCAAGAGTACAAACCCCAGCAACACTGAGCATCCATGTATCCTGTTGTAATGCATTTGTCACTGATATTAGGCTCTGATAACTGTATATATTTGCCTCTCTGATCAGTTGCTGCTTGATTTGAGGTAGAAAATTCACTAATATCAAGAAATGTCAACCGTCTTTACAGTGTTATCATTTCCAGCCATAGATTTATATCCAGCTTGTCCTGTTCAATACTTAAATCTCTGTCCTCATACACATAAGAAATGTGCCAACCAATGGCTTTCTAGGAGTAATCCAGAGAATTAGATTTTGAATCCTATTTCAGAGTATTATTTTTTTCTTAGTGTTCATATCAAAGATATAAAACATTGACATCCAAATGACAAATGTCTTTATTATTTAGAGATTCTTTGTGTTAGCAACTTCAGGATTTATTTCCGTGTTATGCATCTCTCTTTCCTCACTGTTAGACTCCTCTTTGCCAGAGAGGGGGGGGGGTGGAGAGGACAGAGCTGAAATAGAACCTGATTTCTCTGTGAAGCTGCAGGCAGCATGTTTGAAAATAAAACCCTTTCCTCCCTCACAGAATTTTTCAGGCAGCCCTGCAGTAGTTTTAGCACAGGGACTCTGGCTATAAGAGTGGGGACCTTCTAAAATGTGGTGTGTGAAGGTGTGGTGCAATCATACACAGAACTCTCTGAGCATGGGGCTGCAGACTTTGTTGCCTGTCAAAAGTAGATCAGGCTCCAAGCATTGTTTGTTCTTCATGAATATTTTAGGGAACTAAAAACACAGCACAGTACCTATACTTGTTTTTGGACAACGTGCAAAAACTCTGCCAATTTTCAATTCACTATGTAAGTCGTATAAAATTTTGAGAGAACAAGTTCATTTATCCCAGGATAACACAAAGCAGAAGTAGGCTTAAAACAGAGAAATTATATGGTCTTTTCTACCTTGCACATCTACTATGTATTAGAGAAAGTTTCTCGGTACATCTGTCTTTTCTGTCCATTTATTCAACAACTCCTCCTAAACTGTAAGAGTTTGGATCACTGAATTCAGTATGCAGCCTTCCTCGTATTATAACTCAAAGCAAGATAAGGGTTTGGCTGTGCCTAGAAAATGGGATATTTCTGGAATGAGATTGCCTCTCATAAAACTATAGAGAAAAGAGAGACTCACCAGGCAGCTGCCCTAGCCCTGAGCCTCCCACCCCCATACACCCTCTAGTGAGGGTGAGGGAAGGCTGAAGCTCAAAAAGACAATATGCTTCATTCCTGACCTCCAGGAGCAGAGGTGGATGATGTTTGTTTGCTAATATTAGAGGCAACTTTGCATTTCATTCTTTCCTAAAGATATAGGCATGCTTTTTTGCATTAGTGAAATAGCTCTTGCTGGAAAACTTAAGTGATGCATTGGTTTTCTGTCTAAGTGGCACATCAGCAAAGGTCTCTCTTTCTTTGCTAACTTGTCTGAAACTGCTACATCATCTATAAATACTGAAGGGATTCAGACATCTGCTGTCATCATTTGTTTT